TTAAAATTGGTCATTTAATTTGTGGCGAACGAACGAATTTGATATAAATGTCAAAAAATATACCAGCTCTAAATTAGTAGTGATTAGAAATTCATAACAATCGCTACAATGTTCATTCTCAAAATCATTTTATTTGTATTAATTTCAAAGTCGATTTGTAGTGATATAGACGTAGATATCGTAAAGGTATTGGGATCCCGATACAATGATGTATCAAGTATTTGTTTTGATTCAAAAAACAATAAAAGGACAGCATACGAATGTTCTGGAATTATAATGCGCGCCGTTATATTTAACCGAACAGAAATGAGGTATCCTTGGAGTAAAAAACATTTCGACAATGGAACAGATGCACTGTCGTATGCATTTTTACGAGCTGATCAAAAATGTTCATCAATTATTATATTCCCGATTATAATGCGGGTTTTATTATTTATCCCAATTTGGAAACTCAGCGATTATTTCAAGCAAATAAACCAAAAGTGTTTTGTGCATTTCCGATAGATTCAGCTTCAAGGCTTCGTAATGGCATTCATAGATGCGGCCAATTATACAATGATACATCTGGAATTAGCAAAGAATGTCAAGTGCAAGGGATAAATTCATTTCCTTGTGGAAAAAAAATGACTGACTGACTATAAATTAAGTCAATTTTCATCACTTGTATTCGGATAAAATTTCCAATAGATTTCAGAGTTAACTAAAAGTGGTTATAGTCTGTCAAATTACACGAAGACACATATAGTCACTTATAGCTAACTTTAGCTGGCTGAATTATCAGCTATTTTTGTCCCAAATTATCCAATTTTTAGTCGACCATGAAGTCGAAATATTTCCACAAGGGTTGACAAAATGGATATCGCAATATCAAAACATTACAGGTATTTACGAATTTGTGTTTAGTCAATGTGGATTTGATATGACAATCGATACCGCACCTATAGATTTTCAAGTAGTTCTTGCAAGAAAGTTTTGTATTGCGAAACAGTGGCAAAAACTATCTTTTGTCAACAATGAACTACAAATTGAAGCTTGGAATGATGAGAATTGTGAAGAAATTACAATTGAAGCATTTTTCTATTTTATTGATTCTCCCGGAGCAGACGCAAAAGCTGCAGGCTATCGAGTCTTCGAGACATGTTTTATAAGCACTGTGGACGTAAGTTACCTATCGTTGGCCTTCCACTACCTACGGCAGTAAAGAACGTTTTTTTTAAAGATTTAATTAAGTGTAGAAATTTAATGACAAATAAGCAATAAATCCGTATATGCTGTAACGAAAAAATGAATTTGTTTTTTTTTATCTAATGAATATATGAACCAAGTAAGCAAAAACATCCCTCATAATCAAAGTCTACGGAACTTATACAATCTTTTTCGCTATCTAATCATTGAAATTGGTTATTTAATTTATGATGGACGTAATTGATTGATATAAATGTCGAAAAGTAGACTAACTCTAAATTAGTATGCTGACTAGAAATTCATTACAGTGGTCACAAATTGTAAATAGAATTTAAAAGTTGTCCTCAATCAAACCCCGGAACACCCTTTCTTTTTATTATATTTGAGTGTGTGGAAACTGCATGTAATTAGCATTGACCTCCGTTTCGTTTTTTCCAAGACCGAATTTTGCCGAAAACTGCCGATCGATGCAGTTTTTGGTCGTCATGTTCTCAGTCCGGCTATTGATTGAGAATGGTGTATTGCAAATACCAGTGCACATGGTATGTCTTGTTGTGTTGAAGTATTCTTTTTACTGTTTTGTCTTGTACCTACCCTTGTTGGACGAAAAACGATTTTTTTCGGAAATTTATAAAAGCCGTACACCAGTACATCTGAATTCAGTTGAATTCGAAGAATCGAGGACGAATGGCGTGTTTTTTCTACGAATAGAAACTGAAAGTAGTTTTTCTCTGTGTTACTAATTTTTGCATTTCGAATATTTTCAAAGTTAAAGAAATTTTACAAAATCACTTTTCGTCATTTTTTGTGAGTTTTATCAACGTCCAACTTTCGGAATTTGCTTAATTTTTCCAAACTTAATATTCATAGGACAACCACAAAATCCACAAAATCCATTAAAAATGGTTCAATACGTAGAAAACTGGTTGTTTACCGAGCAAACAAAACTAACCGACGTAAATCTTGATTGTTTGGAACATCTTTTCAAGTATTTGAATCTCGACGACTTATTGAATATGGCTGAATTGAATAAACACACGCTCGCTGCATCGCAATTAGGTTTCGCCAGTAAATATAGACAGAAAGTGTTTCGAATTGGAGTATGCGGAAAAATTCTGTATAACAAGCGTTTCGAAGAAATCGACGACAATGTTTTAATCGGTGATTTAAAAACGTCATTGCAAGTGTTTCAATGTTTTGGTCATCGCATTTCTCGCCTTGACATCGTGCGAAATTCGTATCTTTGCAAAAATGTTCACCAATTAATGGGTCATATAAATCAATATTGTTCGAACTCTTTGGTTGAGTTCACGATTCGGGGTATTGAAAGTGAATCATGGTTGCAATTCGCCGAACCATTCTCAAAAGTCGAAAAACTCACCATCGAACTGAAGAATTCGTGTAATTGGTCACAAAGTTTCTTAACACGATTCTTCCCAAATGTTCGACACCTGAAAATTTGCAACTACAGCAGTTGGACGGCCAACTTAAAATGCATCGAAAATAATTTCTCGAAATTAGAGCATTTGGAAATTGGCGAAAGAGATTCGGACGCAGCTAAAATACGGAAGGTCAATATTTACAACGCACTACGATTGAATGCACAATTGAAACGTGTGACGCTGCATTGCAATTTCGATAGGAAATTTTTCCAAAAAATCAATGAATTTTTACCGAATTTTGAACATTTGGACATTTCATCGGAACACTGGCATTTTTATGAGTTTGATAATATCGGAGACGTTTTTAAGAACTCAAACGAATTTGAGAACTTCGGGTATCGGCCGTTGAAAAGTATTCCGCAAAAGGATAATCGACAGGTTGAACATCAGTCCAGTTTCATACATTCAGATACATATTATCCAGAAGAATGCAGGATGTTAATAAATTATTCGGAACCAATGGATATCAACACTCAATTTGAAGAGACATTAAAGACAAGGAAGATAAAGACACAAAATACCAAGAAAATACTATTCAGATGTGGAAAAAAAGGAATTTTTCTTCGAAATCTGAAAGGCTTGCGACGAATACTTTTCGGTTCAAGAAAAAAATGAAAAGTTGCTGTATACTTGTTCGGAGAGTGCGACATTTCACCAGTAATTTATTATTGTATCAGTGGAAACATTTGTTACTTTTCTCGAAATAATAAACAATGTATTGTTAAGGTCATTTTATTGGAAAATAAACTTGTGATATTAAAATTTAAATCTCGTTTACTTTTATTCTCATGCACATTTTCTTTCAGTTTACATAGAATAAAATGCCATTCATTGCAGTAGAGTGGATCCTTCTGAGTTTTCGGAGCGATGAATGAAATTTTCATTCAATGCGCCTTTAAACTTGACTTTTTTCGAAAATAAATCGTCTAAAATAAAAAGCAATTCCCTAAGTCTTCATGCAGCGAAAAGGATTCATCAAAAGAATTTAATTTTAATCCCACATTTTTTGGAAAAAATCCTCATTTAAATTATTGAAACCATATTTAAAATCATTTGTTGAAACAAAATTGATTTTATTATTAATTGCCATCGATTTGAAGGAGCGAAATTGACAGTACACTGTAGAGATTAAAGAAACAATACATACACAAGCATCACATGTAGGCTTAAAGTGGTCATCACAGAAACGAAGCTGAGTATGCGCACATGTATAAGTATTTTCATTCACAGCATGTTTCGTTCCTCTGTTATAAAGTGTGATTATAGTTTGTATATATTGTTTCTATATGTTTTACTCCATGAAATCGACGACAATTAAAAAAATGAATTTGAAAAAATTGTTTTAAGTTTTGTTTTAATATTTTACCTGAGGATTTTTCAAATAGTCGGGATTAGACTCATAGCTGGTCAGACTGAAAAATTCAGGGGTGGGAAGGGGAGGTGTAATGAAAATTTCTTCTAATTTGTAAAGGGGTCATTTCAAACTTTTCAAAAATTATGAGGTGGTAATATAGCTTTTAGTGTAAAAATAAGGAGTTATTTATTCCATCCGGATCAAAATTTATGACCGAAAAGAAGAATTGTCCTTCAAAATCCCTTGTAAATTGGATGATTTTTCTCGTTAAAAACTCTACCAAATCTAAAGAATTTTATTCCTAAAAACCCTAGCAAATCAAAAGAATTTTCCCAAAAGTCCATTCTGTCTAGTGCAAACACCAACTCGGAAAGAGTAAATTCGTAAAGGGGTAATTGAAATTTCGTCTAATTTTTAAAGGGGTATTGCCAAAATTTGATGCCTCAGGGTAATTCCCCCCTCCACCCCTGTCTGCCCAGCTATGATTGGACTTGAACCCTTTTTGAATGTATATTAAACTATTTAATTTGAACCAATCAATATTGGTTGGTTAAAAAAACTCGCAACAGATGTGGAACAAGATATGGCGTTGTCGTAGATTTAGGAACGGACGGGTTTGCTATAATATAACTGTGTTTAGTAATTATCAGAAGAACGTGCGTAAATCGTACGATTTCAATTCAATGTCATTGATTTTTTTGAATTTTGTGATTATTTCTTTATAAAGACCTAACGGCAATCGAAATTCGACACCAAAAGTAGAATTAATAGAAATAGACACGCTCAACGTGAAGTACATAAATGTGTTTGAAGCACTTCCTGGACAGATAACCTTTGACAAAAAGATTATTGCCAGCATATTTTAACATATGGTGTCTTACTAATTCGATAAGAAATTTACGAATTGTCTGTGTTAGTCTAGAACATTAAAAAACACATCTCAATTTAAAAGATCGACAAGAACAAGCAATCAACATAATGTGTTTTAGTCTAGTTGAATTGCTCGTAGAATTTAAATCAGTTCACAATAGTAATATTTTTTTTCTATTGAAAAAAGAAATCGAAAAATATAATCAGAAAATCAATTCCTAAATGCATAAGCTGTTCATTGACATCAAGTTTATAAACACGTTTTATCCATCCAGCTGTAGTTTAGTTTAAAATTTGAGCAATAAAAATGTGGATTTTATTGATTTAACTCAATCGACGTAATCAATTATTCGCAAATACAAAACCAGTTCAATATACTTCTTTTCGTGCGTATAACGATCTCTATCATCTGCGAGTGCATTTTGATTAATTTTTGATTTCAAATCGAAAGAAAATGAACAATTCTATAGTTTTAACTCTGCTTTTGAGTTGTTGTACATTAGTTTGGTCAAGGACTTCGAGTGATTTGCGAGTTACACTATCAAATGGAAGTAAATTGATTGGAAAATATTCGAGATCATTCAGTGGAAGACCGATCAAGTCGTTCGTTGGTGTACCATATGCAAAACCACCAGTTGGTCACCTGCGATTCAAAGTTAGTGCTGTTGTCAAACTTCAAATTGGAATTGATGAAAAAAAAACTAATTGATTTGAACCACTTTATCTTTCGTTTCGATCACAGGCGCCAGAACCAATTGAAAAATGGGATGGCGAATACAAAGCAATAAACGATGGATCCGTGTGCGTTCAAAGGAATTCTTTTAAGCATATATACGATGACCAAGGCAGCGAAAATTGTTTATTTTTAAACGTACATGTGCCACACTCGGTAAAATTATGCTTTTTTACGGTAACAAGTATCAAAATTAATTGAGTGAAATTATTCTTTCCAGTTTGAAGGAATTTCTTCAAATTTATCGGTTATGGTATATTTTCATGGAGGTGGATTCATTACACACAGTGGCACAAGCTCCTTTTATGGTCCCACGTACTTACTTGATCATGACATTATTTTAGTCACCGCCAACTATCGTCTCGGTCCATTGGGTTTTCTTAGCACAGAAGATGAAAATTGTTTGGGGAATTTTGGACTAAAAGATCAATCGATGGTGCTCAAATGGATTCAACAGAATATTGAACGATTTGGCGGTAATCCGAATAGGTTAATATACATTTCTTTAGTAAAGGGCAATGATAAGCTATGATACTTTTACTGAAAGCGCGAAAGTAACATATTTTTATCAATTGAGACGAGTCAATCTGAAGCGTATTTACTCAATGAACATTGAACGTATACATAAAATTTAACAAGAAGAAATTAGAATGGCATTGGTTCACTAATATTAATCGTTTGATTTATTTAAATTTGTCTTCCAATAGTGTCACTATTTTCGGATCGAGTGCGGGTGGTGCCAGTGTGACATACCATATGATGAGTCCATTGAGCAAAGGTATTCAAAATGTCAAAAAGCAAAAACAGCTCAATACACACAGAGAAGTAATACAATGAAAACTAGATGACTTGTCGTATAAAATTTGGAACTAGTTGACACTCCGTATAAAATTGTATTTGTCCATATCATTTCATACCAAACATCGTTTTTGTGTGTTCTCTTGGGTGCGGTTCTTCTTCGTTTAGATGGAAAAATACAATTTTATACGGAATGTCAACTAGTTCCGAATTTTATACGACTAGCCACCTAGTTTTCACTGTATAATTTCTTTGTGTGTACAGATTCGAATTATAATCAATATTTTAGGTTTATTTTCTCGAGCAATTGCAATGTCAGGTACAAATTTGGCTCCATGGGCTCAACCAGCTCATAAGGGAGTTGCCAGAAAGCAAGCAACCAAATTTGCTAAATATTTCAATTGCTACACTCCAAGTGATTGGCCACTAACAATTGATTGCTTACGAAATGTACCAGCTATCAATATTTCGGCAGCATTTTTCGACTTCTTCGAGTTCGACACAGATCCCATGGTAGTATTCTCACCAGTTGTTGAGCCTGATGTGCCGGGTGCATTTATAACGAAGCATCCACGTGAAGATAAAGCCGAAACGTCTAAAGAGATACCATTTCTTGCGGGAGCTACCTATGATGAGGGTCTAATCAAATCTCTATGTAAGATTGATTGAATCTGCCTGCTTCTTGCACTATACTAATATTCATATCGTAAACTTTCTAGCTATTTTTAATTATCCTGGAGCATTCGATAATTTTGCTTCGAATTTAACACGTGCATTATCAATTTCGCTTTACTATGATCATCATAATTCGTCTATTCAAGACTCGATAACAAAACACATCAATGAATTTTACTTTGAAAACAACTTTTCAAGAGATAAGTTCATGAATGTGACAAATGTACATTTTCTCATTAAAAATATTCTTATTAACGGTCAATTATGTTGATGAAATAAAAAAAATTGAATTTGCAGTTATTCGGCGATGCATGGTTCCTTGATTCAATGGATTCGTATGTACGCATGAGACTTGCGCATAAAGAAGTCGCATCAAATTATGTATATCTTTTATCTCATAAAGCATCTGCTAGTTTATCGGATTTTTTCCACGGTGATACAGAGACAATTTATGGTAATAAATTGAGAAAAATTCATGCTAAAAAATTATTGAAATATTTTTTACGTCTGAAGGTGTATGTCATGGTGATGAAGGGATATATCTCTTTCCGCACTCTGCCTTTTCAAACTCATTGCCAACAAAGGGTGACGAAGAAATGCGTAGAACGATCACGCAGTTATGGGTTGATTTTGCTCGAAATGGGTAATTTAGCTATCATCTAAATTGTTCATCTTAACCCTCTAATGCATTAATTTTTTTTCGACATGAGAACTATTTTTCTATGATTATTTTGGTTTAAAATTCCTTAAAAAAATAATCGAAATTCAAAAAATTGTATACAGGGGGAGGCAAAAATTTTAAGCCTGACATATAGATGACACTAGTTACATATTGTTCTTGTGCTGTAATTCACGTACAAATTGTCACTAGTATTTTAGAAAAAAAATTGAGTTGATAGCTGTCATCGTTTGTTTTCAACAGCAATGCATACGAAGTAACCTCGAGATTTTTTATAAAATGGATAAAATCGAATATCGTGCGGTGATTAAGTTTCTGACAAAAGAAGGTGTGGCACCAAAAGATATCGATGATCGCTTGCGTGCAGTTTATGGTGAACGTGCTCTATCGTATTCCACAGTAAAACTATGGGCAAAACAATTCAAGTGGGGCAGAGAGTCATTAGAAGACGATCCACGTTCTGGTCGACCAATTGAAGCAACTGCTCCAGATATGGTGGAAAAAATTGAACACCTTGTGCATGAAAATCCTCGAATGAGCAAGAAAGTGTTAACAGCAATGTGTGACGTGTCAGAGAGAAGTATATTTAGAATCCTTCATGAAAAATTGCTCATGAGAAAGGTTTGCTCGCGATGGATTCCAAGAACTTTGAACAAGTCTCAAAAAGAAGAACGAGTTGCTGCTGCACATGAGTTTCTCGAGTTGTTGGAATGGAATGAAGGGGATATTTTTGATCGTATAGTGACTGGCGATGAAACATGGATCTACTACTATGATCCAGAGCTCAAATCACAGACAATGGAATGGTACAAACGTGGTGAACCAGCATCGAAAATGTTCCAAAGGCATAATATTGGTTGAATTCCTCCCAAAGAACACCACAGTCACGGGCTATTATTATGCACAACAGATGCATAGATTGCGCAAAGCCATCAGAGAAAAACGCCCTAGTCTTCTCACTCGGAAAGTTCTTCTTTTGCATGACAATGCACCAGCTCACAAATCATTGCTTGCACAAGCTGCCATCAGGGAATGCGGCTTCGAACAACTTTACCATCCACCGTGTTCTCCAGATCTGGCCCCCAGCGACTATTTTCTGTTTCAAAACACGAAGAGATATCTCAAGGGAAAGCAGTACAAGACCGAAGAAGAGATTTTTTCAACGTAACCGATATTTTCAACGTATGGGAGGACAAGAGTGCCGAATGGTTTGAGGGGGCAATTAAAGCATTGAAGCATCGTTATGAAAGTGTCATTCGTGTACATGGAGACTACTTTGAATAATAAATATACTCATTTAAAAATACAACGTAACTTGCTATATCAGACATAAAACTTTTGCCTCCCCCTGTAGTTTACTCAAAAAATGCTATTGACAAAATTAGATAACAATCGAATCCATTGTTTAAACTGCTATAAAATTGCTATAAACGAAGAGAGGAATAATTTTTTTTGTCAAATTTCTGTTTTCGCGTACATCTGTGTGTATAATTAAACAGCCGCTTTATTTTCACTTGTCAAATGACCGGCAAATGAAAGCCTGAACCCTGCTGAATATATTTTAATTCATAAATAGAATCATTTGTTTTTAATTATATATTTTAGACAATAATTTATACACTCTGTCTAAAGGCAGGGCTATACACTAGAGGGTTAATGAAAATGTTTAATTTTTTTGGTAGAAATCCAACGCCAGACTCAAGTCATTTACCAAAATGGACCGAAACAAAAGAACTTCCGTTGAATTTCTATCGCCTGGGTAATTTACATTTTGATGGCAAACCTATGTTTGGAAACGAAAACGGTGGAATATTTGAAGAACGCGCCAAATTTTGGAGAGAAATTAATGCATTCACAACCAATAAAAATTAATAGCGAGAAAATTTATGAAAAATATACTAAATTATGAAAGTGGTTTCATGCGTGGGCATTGATCAAATAAATACTTATAAATGCTTAATTTTGGTAGGAATTCTTTTATACCGAGAAGTCTGTTGGTTAATACTTCTTCAAAAGTATGTTTAGTTACGTCGAAAAATTCTTGGCCTATTGTTTTTCATAAACTTTTTGGAATAGCGTAATAATGTAGCGATACTTGAAGAATTTATTACGTCTTTGAATAATAAATATTAACGACATCTTCACTACAAACATTTTCAAACAGGTATATGTTAAATATCACGTTTACTCGCAAATATTATATTGCTTATTTGAAAGAGAAGTTTAGACGCCTTTTTTTCATCTTGATAAATTGACGAGCAAAATAAAAGTAATCCAATGGCGAAAGTACTGAGAAAAAGGTACATTTTCTGGCATTTATTTTAGGATTTTTGAGTAAAGCTTTTGAGTGAAGCTTTGAAAACATGTCGTAATCGGAGCTGGTGCATCCGGTATTATTACCGCAAAGAATGCCATCGATCAAAAGCACAATGTAACGATTTTTGAAAAAACTGGCGGAGTATGGTATACAGCGTCAAAAACTCAAAAAAAATAAATAGTCTTACGGGAGTAAGACGAACTTTTCCGCACGGTGGTAGCTGCGTATTTTATTAAGAAAGTTCAAAACAATATTTAATTGATTTTTCAAGCCTTTCGAGCGTCGTAAAGCTCGGAACCAAAAAATATGTTTCAACTTTGGCAACGAAATATTCTTTAATTCAATAGCAGAAGTACCCGAGAAAAGATTTTTCACACTTTCATAATGAACCCATTTGAAAGCATTCTATTTTCTAACAAAACACTAAAAAAAATATGTCTGACGTTAATTTTGCCATAATAATTATTTTTGAAATACTTTTCATACGTGTTTCATACGGCGTGAAACTTTGCACAGATTATTTTTTTCACCAAAAAATGACATTCGGAGGGTTTGGAGAAATTTTGTATGGGCGGTACCCCTAATTTTGATTGAAATCTCTTCAAACTATCAGAATGTTATCATTTTGTGTAAAAAATAGTCTGTTCAAAGTTTCCCGTCATAAAAGTAGCAAACAGGCATGGCTCCCATACGAAAATTCAATTTTCTTGTGATTTTACTTTTCCGCACACACCTTGTTATTGCAATAGGTCAAAATTTACGAAACTTCAAAAACATGTTTTCTGGACGTTTCTGAGGTCAGAGAACCCGAATCAGGCCGTTTTGAGCATGGTTGTTGTGGGTCGCTTCCACGTCGTACGTCGTACGTTGTCCGCCGTACGCAAAATTTGTCCATCGATTTTCTCACCACCCAGAAAAGTTATTTGAAATCTGACTTTACGGGATGATTAGGGGTCCCCAGGAATAGAAATCATCAGATTTTGAGCGATTTTGGTTGATGGAAAAAAATGTCATGCCTGGAGTGATACCTATGAAAAAGAGTCCAATTTTCGTCCAAAAGTCATACTTAATGTAGACTTAAACACTCAAAAATATGTATTGGGGGGTTTTTTGGCACGAGAAAACCGAATCCGACGTTAGTTTTGAGATACAATCAATTTTTAATACTCTCTTAGTATTAGTAATTTCTTCAAACCCTCCGAATGTTATTTTTTTGTTTAAAAAAATAGTCTGTGCAAAGTTTCACGCCATTAAGGTAGCATAGAGACCTGGCTCCCATACAAAAATGCAAATTTTTTGTGACTTTAGTTATGAAAAGTGTTTCAAAAATAATTTTTATGGCAAAATTAACGTCAGACATATTTTTTATAGTGTTTTGTTAGAAAATAGAATAATTTCAAATGTCGTGCAAATGTTCATCATGATAGTGTGAAAAATCTTTTGCGACTACTTCTGCTATTAAATTAAAGAATATTTCGATGCCGAATATATATAGCTTAGTAGAATACGCATCTACCACCGTGCGGAAAAGTTCGTCTTACTCCTGTAAGCAAGCGTTTAGAAAGACAAAAATTTATGCGAGCAATTGAATGATGCTTGCATCATTTGATGCGCATCGCTAGTGCTTTCGTTGTGCGTTCGGAGCACTTCGTGCGCTGCCGAAGATCCGAATGTATGGCGACAGCACAATCGATGCGCATCAAATGATGCAAGCATCATTCAATTGCTCGCATAAATGTATGTCTTTCTGAACGCTTGCCTGTAAGACTCTTTATTTCGAAAATAAAAAGCAATTCCCTAAGTCTTCATGCAGCGAAAAGAAGTCATCAAATTAAGTTCATCAATTTGAATAAACGCTTTCAATTAAATGATTTATTTTCGCACAACCATTGCGTTCAGACAACACAGCTATAACTGTGTTTAATAATTATCAGAAGAACCTGCGTAAATCGTACGATTTCAATTCAATGTCATTGATTTTTTTGAATTTTGTGATTATTTCTTTATAAAGACCTAACGGCAATCGAAATTCGACACCAAAAGTAGAATTAATAGAAATACACACGCTCAACGTGAAGTACATAAATGTGTTTGAAGCACTTCCTGAACAGATAACCTTTGACAAAAAGATTATTGCCAGCATATTTTAACATATGGTGTCTTACTAATTCGATAAGAAATTTACGAATTGTCTGTGTTAGTCTAGAACATTAAAAAATAAAATGTCTTACATCCGTAAGATGAACTTTTCCGCACTGTGATCCACGACATGAAAGAAAACTAAATCTGACATTAGTTTTA